AAAGTCAATAAGAACATAAGTACATAGTAGTAATATACATCATACATTCATAAATACATATAGGCAAGGAAATTTTATGATTTTCTTTGAGGTGACATATAAAACCTGATTACCCCGGACTATCTGTTTTTTATTCAGCTTAATTTTCTTCCCTTATAACCTTTTATGACCTGCGATTTGTTATTTCTTGTTTTAAAAACAGTACCTTATGAAATAACGAGTTTTCCTCCGGCTAGCTAATTATGTCTGTGATTAACTTGTTATTCAAATAGACAAAATTCTATTTTACGGCAATCATTACTCAATCTCTTGACTTCAGAAGTTCCTATCCAATTCCCAACTCGACCGTCACATTCCTGTCATCCACTCTGTCCAGACACTCTGATCATCGTTCTGCTTTGCCTATTATTCCTCTTTATTATCTTCATACCTCCTTTCATATGTGCCAGTGTGACAAGAAGGCTACGTCGACAGAGCTATCACGATCGCCCGCTTATTGATAAAGGGTACGTTATCTGAATTTCTAGGACTTCAGAGGGTACTGGTGAGGATTCCGATTTCTTTTCAGATACGATAGTGAGATGATACGCTCAGGAAATACAGAATGTACACAAGCTAGTGGTGAGAAGACATCAGGATTCACAGCACAAAGAAGTATAGGAATTCAACTAAGCGTGCAGAGCACACCGAGGTAGAAATCGTTTCAAAAAGTATAAATTCTCCCAAGGGGTCAATATATCCTCATAATTAGCCATTTATGAATAAATGTAAAAACCCTTCGACATCCTAGCAACGCTTTAACTTTGTTTAAGCTCAGTAACAAATTTTCGAAACTCTTGAGCCTAATCTCAAGCAATTTTATAAATTGCTCAGTTATATATTTCACCCGATATGTTTGTTCCATGAGACAGGGGTAAAGAGTTACTTAAAGGGTTAAGTGCTATAGAGTACCCAAGGACAACTCTTCCAACTCCATGTTTTATTTACAACATGAAACACCATTTTCTATATATAAAGGGTTTTATTTTGCTTTTTAGCCTATCTAGAAGCTTCCCATTTTAATCACTGGCTTCATTGTAATAACTTAACCTACCAAGCTAAACTAAATCAGTAGCCCGTGATGGCAGGGCCAATTGGCGGAAAAAATCCTGTGTCCATAAAACAACGCTTTCTATCCAGTTCTCCGTCTTTTCCGTTTTGAGAGTAAGATTTGTTGGAAATCTGTTCAATGATAAGCCCAAGAAACGCTATATATGACGTATTTTCCTTTCTTCAAACTATAGAGCTCAAATTTTCTGAACGATTTGCTCGTATGACCATAAAATCAACTTCATACGCAGTACTCTGACAATTGAGGTCAGGTGCTTAATGAGGTTGGGGCCATATGGACACAAATCAAAGCGGGTGCTTGGAAGCAATTTGTAGAAGGGCTATGAGAAAAGGATTCGCTTTTGTCATTGGCGCTAACAATTATTTCCATTTGGGTAATTAGGAAAAATTAGTTCAATATAGTTTTCTAAAGGGTTTATACAGCAGGGGCTCGATAAATCATTATTTACATGCATAGAATTATGAAATTGAAGATTATTTCTGTTTTATAGACAATCACAACGGAGAATTGCTTCATTTCTAGTACATCCTAGGTTCTTCGAGAAAAAAATATGCTCATTTGGCAAAATTCCAGGTGCGCCCGAGCTTTCCTTCCCACAGACTCACCTACACCTCATGGAACGTCAGTATCCACGGCAGATGAGCTTGAATACGATTATTACGATGGTACAACCATACCTGGTTCACTTCTGGCTCCTGTCAACGATTTTTTAATGTGTGAAATCGAAATTGATCAAATCATAGCCCAATCCTCATTGTATTCAAAACCGGTCGACACTCATGATGTATACACTCAGGTTTAGGATCGAATTCCTACCTCTTTTGTATTTCTGGCTAATTAAATGCCCAAAGTCAATACTTTGAGCATTGACTACTTGACATAGTTTTTATTCAATTTCTATTCACAATAGATCGTTTGTGAATTACTATGGGTCCTATTCTGAAGGGTACTTACATTTTCGAGCTTTTTTCCTAAGGATGATTTCTAATTGATTCGGAGTTTTTTAAGAATTTATCCATCTCTTGCTTTTGTATGCATATGTAATTGTTCAATAATGTGAGTTTGCGCTGATTGTTATCATTCTGGAAGACCTGGATAGCAAATGTGCTTTTGATCTTTTTCCTAGTCTGTACAGGATAAATTTGAAGAATTTCTGCTACATTCATCTTGAGACATAAGTAGATTATTCACGGAAGAATTAGAGTCTATGTTTTTATGGAATAGTGAGAAATAACTTGTTGAATCGTTTTTACCATATTACACGCTTTACCGAATTGCAAAAAGGTGACAAAAGCAATTTTGCACTAAGTGCAAATTATAAAAAGTTAAAAAA